GATCTGGGAATATCTTGACCAGTTTGATCTTCGAAACATGCACCACCGGGAATATGCTGTATGTGGATCCTGCCACCTCCAACCTCACTGCATTTTCCCCGATCTTTTATGCAACGCGGAATGGGCCGTGCCACAAATGCGCCAGCTTTTTTTGCATATCCCTCACGCACGCAATCTAGGTATAACCAAACCCTTGATCCAGACTCTACAGGATGAGGACGTACTAGATCATTGTGCGTATCGGCCCGATCCGCGATCGCCTCACGTAGGCGTTGGTTCACTTGTTCTCTGGCCTGCTGATAGTACTTTTGCATCCGATATCGCCAACTTCTCGGATCTCGATCGTGCCTGCGAGTGCTCCCCATCGGGATCACCGCTTCCAAGGTAGATCTAGGATCCTAGCCATGTATCATGTAGAAAGGCGTTTCGCTTCGGATCCGATGTTGATCGCGAAGGTGAGTCGCTCAGCATACTCGTCCCAATCTCGCTGATCTAGATCCTCCACATACATTTTAAGAGCCCTGGTAGTTGTCTGGACCATACGTTCTGCAGATCCATGAGCTTGGGGTCGATACGCCATAGTAGGCCGTTGGTGTTGTCCCAGGATCTTGTTGAAAGACTTAAAGAAGTCAGACACAAAGCCTGGCTCCTGATCGTGTCGGATCACCTCGCTCGCGCCAAATCGGCGGAAGACGCATTCTTCGTAGGTCTCGGCGATTGTCTGAGCGGATCTAGAGACGCTGGCTTTGGCGATCACATATCCTGAGAATAGATCCACGAAGATCAGCAATTCAGTGTTGCCATTGAAGGATCTAGGCAGTGAAGTATGTGATCCATGGCAATGATCTGGAATGGGTATGTCGCCTGAAGGTTACTAGGTGACTCGCCCTGGATCCGGGGTCGTCCTTTGCCTGTTTCGCAATCGGCACATTCCCCCACGTATCGCTGTACATTCTTATACAGCCCTCTCCTGTGGAAATGATCACGGATCCGATCGTAGATGCGACCGATCCCTTGATGGCCACCCTGTAGACTCGTGTGATAATGATGCAAAATGTCCTGTTGAAGCGTCTCAGGTATCACCAGTCGCATCAGCTTATCTCGATCTGCAGCAGTTTCCTTAGTGGTCGGGCAATAGAAGAGTAGATCCAACTCATCCACTTCATAATTCTTAGCAATAGATCCAAACATCTTAGCCTCTTCTTGTGCCAGATCCCGGATCTCCCCGTCGGATCTCCCCAACCAAATACTTCTTCAACCCCATGACCCACGACTCCTCGTCCTGCGCTTGCCGGATCCGCTCGATCCGTAGCTCTCTCACGACTTCCTCTCGTAGGGAGTCTGGATCAGATCCAATACGTACTCCCGATCTAGCCTTAGATCGGGTCGTCACGGCTGATATCTGTGCGATCTCGTCTTCGAATTTCAATATCAGGATCTCATCCAACCGATTTAAAGTTATGAGATCCTGTCAGACTCTGTCTCGATCCCACATTGCCGTTGCAGAGCAGCGCTTGCTAAGCTGTCAACGCTCCCGTTCCAGTCTCGTTTGACGTGTAATAGCTCATGATCTGGCCGCGTACGTAGTCGAACCAAAGCTCACTGGCGTAACAGTGTCAGACCTGGCGCCTTACAATCGATCTCTCCTCGTACTTGCCGGATCACCAGGTTTGAGTCTCCGCGGATCACCAGACGTCGTGGGTCCAGATCTTCCAACAGATCCAGACATAGCAACAACTCATGATATTCCGCCTCATTCACCGTCAAGCCTTCGGCATGCTCTGATCTAGCTTTCAGCACCCTCCATTCGAGCAGCTTCCACAAGGTCGCGCTGTAGGTGCCTCCACCTCTCTTGACACGGGCCGAACCATCGAAACTGATGACGTATAGCTCCTCATCTCGTCTAATAGTGGGGATCGGACCTTGGATCTTGCGTCTAAGCTCCTTTTTAGGGGCAATTGAGATCAATGCCTTATCCACTTCTGATCTAGGAGTAATACTGGCCGCCAGTGCTCCTAAGATCTCGTCCTCTCCTTTGACACACTTGGTGATCTCAAGTGTCCAGGGCAACAACAGAGCGGCCCACTGTCCTAGACGTCCTTGTAGGGCGGTGGATATGAAGAGCCACGCCAATGTTGAGTGTCGGGTCAACACATGGATCGGACGCCCGACCAACGCATTATAGTTAAGATCCTGGATCCTCAGAAGTGCTAATACCTCCTTCTCCACGATGCCATAGTTTAGCTCGTCGACTTCAGAGTACGGCTGGCAAACATCACGGGGTAATAGATCTGGTCGTATTCCTCCCGAAATGGCACAATCGCTAGCATACACCACAACTGTGGCCTTCCGATCTGGGTCAAAGTGCCGTAAGATCGGAGTCGTAGCGATCCTGGTTTTAAGCACGCTGAAGGACCGATGGGCATGGATCCAGCGTGGATCTACCTCAGTAGGATCTGGCGCCTCCAGATCCAAGGTCTTTCGGTGGTCGACACCCTGATCTTCCTGATATCCCTGATCCACATTCTCCTCCTACAGTACATGTTGGATCCGTGCTTGGGTAGCTTCTTTCATCATCGCAACAAAGTCGATTTCTCGCAATTCATACAGAACCGACGCGTAGATCACGTAGTCTTCGATAAATCGGCTATAATAGTGCAGACTTCCCAAAAATGACTGCATAGCTCTGAGTGATACTGGAAATGCTAGATCCGTCAACGCAGACAGATCCTTCGGATTCGCCTCCAGACCATTGTGCGAGACCCTATGCCCGAGATATTCCACCTTAGGCATTCCACAGAAACTCTTAACACACTGATCGACAGATTCCACTCATCACATGCTTTGAGTAAACCTTCGACCCGATCACATAGTTGATCCCGGTTGTTGGCGGGGATCAGGATGTCATCTATATATGATCTACGACCAAGCACCGATAGTTTGCCTGGATCCACCGGTTCCCCATTCTCAAATACATCTAGAGCACCCTCGTGATCTTCAGACCTCGGGATCCGGATGAATCCATATAGCGCGTTGTCGATCATACGTTGGTAGACCTGTGGCGCATTCTTCAAACCGAAAGGCATTCGGTTCCACTCAAATAGCCCAAAGGGAGTAATAAAAGCCGAGATCAACCGAGCTCGATCCGTCATCTTCACTACCCAAAATCCGCTCGCCATATCCAAGGAACAGTACCAAAGTGTCGACTCCAGATCTTCAAGTAGGTCGTTGATCAAGGGCATTGGATAGATCATCAGCTGAGTTAAGCTGTTAACCAGCCGATAATCGATACACAGCCTGATATCCACCCCATTCTTTTTGATGATCACCACGATCGGGGAAGCCCATGGTGAATAGTTGATCATTTTAGCGGACAGTAGGCCTTTGATCAAGTCTGCCAGC